GATACATATGCATAATTGCTCTGAATTTACTTTTAAATTTTATGATTATTTATATACATGTTCATCCAAACAAAGAATCTAAAATGTGTAAATGTGTGACCGTTTCTGCACATTTTCACACCCCTGAGCAACATCGCACCCCAGTCACACTCCACATTAGACAAACTGAAAAAGAATGAATAGTTTAATAAATTATTTTTGATTAAAAATGAGAAAAATCTCACCGTGTTTTCTCTACAAATGAAAATGAATTCACGTGTTTCCTTTACTGTGCACTGAAATAAACTTACACTCATGAAAAAAGATGGTTCTTCAAAGGTTCTTCAGTAAAGAAGGTTCTAGATAGAGCCATGAACACTCAAAGAACCCTTTGCATGCTAAATAAATGATTCTTTGCATGGTAAATTGGTTCTTCAGATTGATGGAGAATGTGCTATAAATGGTTCTATTTTGAAAAGGGTTCTAAATAGGATTCTACTATTGTTACAAGCTTGACATCGTAACTACAGAACCATTTTTGGTGCTATATAGAACGATTACATTCTGTATCAATTCAGAGAACCATTTCACCATGCAGAGAACCTTTAGTCATGTAAAGGGTTCTCTGAGTGTTCATGGTTCTATATAGAACTATTATCTTTACTAAAGAACCTTCCTTTTTAAGAATGTAATGTATGTTATGTACAACAACAACAACAACAACAATAATAATAATAATAATAATAATAATAATAATAGTAATAATAATAATTGATTGTAATGTATTTGATGAACGCTTTAAGCTGTAATCCAACCCAAACCGTCCACATCATCCATCATATTCCGCTCCTTTTATCCTCTACACGAGCCTTCTGAATATTCATGAGCACGACGACGTCACCGGGAGGGAGGGGGAGAGAGAGAGAGAGAGAGAGAGAGAGAGAGAGAGAGAGAGAGAGAGAGAGAGAGAGAGGGCGGGACGTGGAGAGCATGCGGGCGAACTAGTGGAGGAGTGTGTGTGTGTGTGTGTGTGCGTGTGATTGTGTGAGTGTGTGCGTGTGTGTGTGTGTGTTAGCCTCGCTCCTCGCGATGCAGGCGCGCGGGCTTTTGTCTGCAAAACGCTTTTCTGTCCTATTTTCCGTGCGCGTTTCACGGAGCGCGCGGACGCTCCGGTGATGATTCTGCAGGTTTTTCGCGAGCGAATCTGAATCGATGCATCGACGTTTTTTCGCCCCCCCACTCCCCTCTGTAATCGACGCGCGCGCGTGACATGCGGCCAGGCTTCGGAGGATTCAGACGGGGGCTCTTTCTTTCCGCGCGAGCGCAGCACGCAGCAACGAGGGGCGAAATGGTCTGGAACAGGAGGGGCGTTTGAAAACGCGAGCGCGCGCGAGCACGTAAATGTTGTCGGCGCGAGCTCCGAACGATAAAGCGTCCATCGCAGCCGCCACCGCCGAGAGGAGCGCGTCTCGTGCTGCTTCGTGGTGCACGAGAGCTTCCGAGCCGAGCGAGTGCATGAAGGAAGCAACGAGGAGCGTCCAGCCGGAGGTGTTCTGAGTCTCGTGGTGCTGAAAGGACAGCTCCCGGAGCGCGAGAGCCAAAGAGCGTCAGCGAGGAGAGTCCAGCACCGAAGAGCGTGAACATCTAACCAGTCCAGGAGCAGAGGACCTCCAAAAGAACGTGTAGTGGCGCGACGGCAGCGGAGAACGTCCACCACTGAAGAACGTAAACGGCGTCCAGCGCCAGGAACCTCCTTCAGTCTGAACGCTGAAGAGCTGGAATCGTGGTGACCACCTTGAAGGACAGTTCCTGGAGCCACGGAGCAGACAGCACCAAGACATTTCTTCATCCAGCTGGAGAAGAACGTTCTATCTAACACCAAGGAGTGTGAAGAACATCTACAGTCTCTGGAGCAAAAGAGTGTGTCCTGGGCCAACAACAGTGGAGAATATTTAGAGCATCCAGCACCAGGTATTGACCTCCTTCAGAACTGAACAGGTTGAAAGCAGTTCCAGGAGCTCCAAAAGAGTGTGTCCTGAAGCAACGACAGTGGAGAACGTCCACCACCAAAGAGCATAAACGGCGTCCAGCACCAGGGACCTCGTTCAGACTGAACGTCGAAGAGCTGGAGCATTGTGGTGGCCACCTCGAAGGACAGTTCCTGGAGCAAAAGAGCAAACAGCACCAAGATAGATTTTCATCCAGCTGGAGAAGGACATTCTATCCAACATCTACAGCCCCTGGAGCAACAATAGAGGAGACCATTCAGAGCATCCAGCTCCAGGTTCCTCCTTCAGACTGAACCTTCAAGAGCTGGAGCATGGAGACTGGTTAATAATCTCCTGGAGATCACCAGGATATTTCTCCATCCAGCAGAACATCCAGCAGCAAGGAGTATCTCCATGGTCTAAAAGGTACAGTTCCAGAGCAAAGGAGGATCCAAGTCATAGAGCGTCCAGCATCAGGGTGAAGAACTGTTCCTGGAGCAAAAAAGCCAAAGGGGTGTGTAGAGCATCTAATCACCGAGGTATGAGTCCATCGTGCTGAGAAGATGTTCCTGGATTAAACAGCAAGAAGAACTCCCAAACTGCGGAGACGTTCCAGCACCAGGTATTGATCTCCTTCAGTCTGAAAGGTTCTAAATTAGCATGCGTATATTTGACATTAATACTACACCCTTTAAAAAGATGGTTCTTCAGGGGTTCTTTAGCAATGGAAATGGTTCTATATAGAACTATAAACACTCAAAGAACACTTTGTATGATTAAAGGGTTCTTTGCTGCATGAAAAGAGTTCTGCTATAGTTACGACGTCAGGCTTGTAAGAATAGAAGAACCCTTTTGGTGCTATACAGAACCATTTTCAAAAATGTTCCATGTAGAATTCTGCATCAGTCTGAAGAACTCTTTCCCAATGCGAAGAACCTTTTAATCATGCAAAGGGTTTTTAGAACCATTTCCCTTTAAGAACCATCTGAGTGTGTTCGTACATCCACACTCACTACCATCCACGAGTCTGGAGTCAAAGTTTTTCATAATCAAAGCCTATTTTGTTGTAGGTGCCTGAACGCTCTTAAAAAGAGGGTTCTTCAAGGGTTCTTTGGTTAAGGGGATTGTTCTGTAAAGAGCCATAAACACTCAAAGAACCATTTGCATGATTAAAAGGTTCTTTGCACGGTGAAATCATTTTTTAGATTGATGGAGAATGTGTTAGAAATGGTTCTATCTAGCACCAAAAAGGGTTCTGCTATAATTATGATGGCAAGCTTATAGCAATAGAATAACCCTTTTGGTGCTATATAGGACCATTTTCACAAAAAGGCTCAATCTGAAGAACCATCTCACCATGCTAAGAACTGTTTAATCATGCTAATGTGTCTATGTACAACTCATGGTTCTAAACAGAACCATTCTCTTTACTAAAGAACCCTTAAGAGTGTATAAAATGGTTCTAATCTGATGCTGGTGCTCTACAATGTCACTGATTTTAAATAATCATTGTGAAGCTGTAAGATGAAGAAATGTGCAGAATGAAGAACAGATCTGTAGAAGGTTCTAGAATGAATAAAAAGATAACAAAATTCACATTCGGAACGCCTCAAATCTCGAAGTGATGATCAAATCTTGTGGCTAAAAGTTGATAGAAAATCACTGCATATTATTTAACATGTAATCGTTTATTGCGGTTCAAAAATATTTGTAGAATGAAACTAAACTCACTGAAATTACCTTTAGTGTTTCGTTGTAATATTGATATCTACACTGTATTAATTATGGTTCGCCTTTAGAACAAGGTCACAGCCACACAGTAGAAGAACCACTCATGCTTTCCTAAAGAACCTCTTTTGTAAATGACAGTGTGACTACACATAATTTAAAGGTTCTGCATCAATTAAATTTTACAATTTACCAATTTTACACTTTAAAAAGGTTCTTCACTCTGAACTTCTCATTAACCAAAATGTTTCTCTAAACAACCATCCACTGGAAGGTTCTTCAGGGAACCAAAACCATCACCGTTATTCCTTTGGGCGCCTTTATTTATAAGAGTATAGTGTACAAAATCTTAAATAACTAATATGACAAGTTATTGCAAAGCTTTGACTTAATTTGACTAAATTTAATATACCTGAAGTTATTTCACACTTAAACATTCACCGTCTCCAAAGCACGCACTGTTCTTTATTTGTCTTATTAATAATAATATTAATATTAATGAACTGTGTTTATATAGCACATTCATACATTGAATGTAGCTTTACATAAAACATAAACACGGGGGTAAAAAAAAGGGGTGGGAATAAAAACAAATTCTGAAAATCTAAAAAAAAAAAATTGTTCTTGTAAATTTAATTTAAAATTTAAATTTAAAAATATTTTTCCTAATATGTTTGTCTGATTTGTAGAGTAGACGAGTGGCGAGACCTCAAAGCCGAGGAGCGTGAAGAACGTCCAGGACCATCTCATCCAGCAAACAAGCCAACAGCGCTGAGATTCGGTTCGTGGTGTTGCAGGAGCAGCGCTTTTCTCCAAAAACTCAGGTTCTTCAAAGTCCTTCATATGCAGAGCTGAGAGAGAAGCTTCTGGATGAGACTGTAAACATCAGCGTGGTGTTGAAGGGACATCTTCTGGATAAGGTTCTGGATAAAACTCTGGATTTGGAAAACTCTTGGAGCCAAAAAACACCAAGGAGCTTGAAGGAACCAGCGCTGCGAAAACATATATAAACTAAACACAAATTTAGCTTCAGTTCTAATTCTGGAATGCTAATGCTTATTTACCAACAATAACAACAACAACAACAACAACAATAATAATACTAAACATCAGCATCATCATTGTGAGTTTAATTTGTATAACGCAAGTGTCTCAAACATGTTTGCTTTGAAGAAGCAACAAAATAATTTTGATAATTTGATTGAAAATTCCTTAAATATTAGGTATTTAACTCAAACGCTCTGATATGCTGGAAGTCTTCAGCCTTTAAAGCTAATATTTTGGATTTACAGTGAAAAGTGTGTCTGTGATGAAAGGACAGCTCTTTTTACAAAATATTTGAACGTCAAGGTTTTTATTTTTATCCGTGGTGCTGAAAGGACACCTCCCGGTTGTAGAAGGACGCCTTTCAGAGCACCAGGTTGTTCAGAAACCACAGAAACACCCACTGCGCTGAAATAAACTGTGTAAATGGAATAAAGCTTGAAGGTTGTTGAGGCCGTCAGCCTGACCGGCTCCACCTGGCTTTAATGGCTGTGGCACGCAAAATCAAAACTCTGCTGACGGTCAACATCCTGGTCTTTGTGGGGATCATCCTGTTCTCGGTGTACTGTCGGATTCAGGACCGCTCCGAGGAGCTGGTGCAGATCGGCAGGGCGTCGGATCAGAGGCTGAGGAGCAGGAATGGTAAAGTGACCGGCTTGGACAGGCAGTCCATTCTGCAGAGGCTGGAGCGCCTGGAGGATGTGGTCTACAACCAGCTGAACGGTGAGTGTTCGCGGTTTCAGAGCAGAGCTGGAACAGGAACGTTTGGGGATGGACTTTAAGGTGGCTTGACAAAATTAATTTGATTACAATTAATGACATTAAAAATGAGTGTCCGGAAAAGGATGGCATGCCCACTCCAGGTAGGGGGAAAGGACTTGCCCCAGGTGGAGGAGTTTAAGTATCTCAGGGTCTTGTTCACAAGTGATGGGAAGAGGGATGGTGAGATCGACCGCAGGCTGGGACAGGTGGCAGCAGTAATGCGGTCACTGTACCGGACTGTAGTGGTGAAGAGGGTTTACTGGTCGGTCTACATCCCCACCCTCACCTATGGTCATGAGCTGTGGGTAATGACCAAAAGAATGAGATCGCGAATACAAGCGGTGGAAATAAGCTTTCTTCGCAGGGTGGCGGGCTACACTCGGCCATCCGGGAGGAGCTCGGAGTAGAGCCGCTACTCCTCCGCATTGAGAGGAGCCAGCTGAGGTGGTTCGGGCATCTGATCCGGATGCCCCCTGGACACCTCCAGGTGGGGGTGTACCAGGCACGGCCTACCGGGACAAGACCCCGGGGTCGTCCTAGGACCCGCTGGAGGGATTATATCTCCAGGTTGGCTTGGGGTCCCCGGGAATGAGCTGGAGGAAGTTGCGGGGGACAGGGTCGTCTGGGATTCTCTGCTCTCCCAACTGCTACCATGACCCTAGCTGGACTAAGCGGTTAACGACGATGATGATGATGAAAATGAGTGTTTTAAAATCAATGAGGTTGAACTGAACGAGTGAAAGAAGCAGAGTGTTTATGCTGTGATTATGATTTTAGGTTGTTTTGTTCTTAAGAGCAGTGAGATGGTGGTGTTTTCTTTCTTTGGTTATTTAACCAGCTTTTGCTATGGTTTTCCAGGTGGATGCAAGGATTTTAGTAGCTGTTTTGTAGTATTCTGAGTGGTTGCTAGGTTGTTGCTAAGCAGTCGCTATAGTATCGCACATGGTTGCTAGGTGGTTGCTATAGTGATAGTGATATTGTGATATTGGTGTGGTGTTCCGGTTTACTTTTCTGTGGTATTCTGAGTGGTTGCTAGGTTGTCGCTAAGCAGAAACAGTGCTATTGCATGTGGTTGCTGATGGTTGCTATAGTGTCTAAGGCAATTGCTAAGTGTTCGACATGGTGTTCCACTTTGTTGTGATGGTATTCTGAGTGGTAGGTTGTTGCTAAGCAGAAACAGTGCTATTGCATATGGTTGCTAGGTGGCTGCTACAGTGATAGTGATATTGATATAATGTTCCAGTTTATTTTTTTTGTTGTTCTGAGTGGTTGCTAGGTTGTTGCTAAGCAGAAGCAAAGTTATAGCACATGGTTGCTAGGTCGTTCCTATAGTGTCTCAGGCAGTCAGTAGATGTTTGATATGGTGTTCCAGTTGATTTTTATGTTATTCTGACTGGTTGCTAGGTTGTTGCTAAGCAGTTGCAGTACTATTGCATGTGGTTGCTACGGTGTTCACAAGTGGTTGTTATAGTGTCTGTAAATAAAAACAAATTCAATAATGTGCAAATCATTTAAACCCTATATTTCATTGAAAATAGAACAAAGACAACATCAAATGTTAAAACTGAGAAAAGTTATTGTTTTTTTTTTTGAAAAATATGTGCCCATTTATGAATTTGATGCCAACAACATTAATAGTTGGGACGGGGGCCTGTTTACCACTGTGTTTCATCACTTCTTCTTTAACAGCACTCTGTAAGTGTTTGGGAACTGAGGAGACGCTGCTGTAGTTTAGAAAGTGATATGTTCTCCATTCTTGCGTAACATAGAATTTCAGCTGCTCATCAGTTCAGGGTCTCCTTTGTTGTATTTTTCATTTTATAATGCGCAAAATGTTATCAGTGGTGACAGGTCTGGACTGCAGGCAGGTCAGTTTAGCACCCGGACTCTTTTAATACAGTTGTAATACATGCAGAATGTGGTTTTACACTGTCTTGCTGAAATAATCAAGGCCTTCCCTGAAAAAGACGTCGTCTGGATGGCAGCATATGTTGCCAAAACATGTATATATCATTCAGCATTAATGGTGCCTTCACAGATGAGCACGTCACCCATGCCATGTGCACTAATGCCCCCCTACACCATCATGAATACTGGCTTTTGAACTGTGCACTGATAACAAGCTGAGTGGTCTTGTTGTTTCGTTGGACCACAGGACACTTTTCCTCTTCCCCTCAGTCCATTTTAAGTGAGCTCAGGCCCAGAGAAGGTGGCAGTTGAATACTTTATTAGAAGTGAATGAAAATGATGTGATATGATTTATGTATATTAACATACTGTTATTTTAACAGCCACTGTACAAGCAGGTGTTCACTCAGCAAAACACCAGCATGCTTTTTAATTATTTATTCATAACAAATGCTTATGAGCACTGACCTACACTCTTAAAAAATATGGTTCTTTAAGGGTTTCATAGAACCATGAACACTCAAAGAGCCATGTGCATGCTCAACTGGTTCTTTGCATGGTGAAGTGGTTCTTCAGATTGATGGAGAAAGCGTTCTGCTGTTGTTATGATGTCAAACTTGTAACAACATAATAACCCTTTTTGGTGCTATATAGAAACCATTCTCGAAAAGATTCTACATAGATGCATATACAGCACATTCTCCATCAGTCTGAAGGACATTTCACCAGGCAAAGAACCGTTTAAGCATGCAAGTGGTTCTTTGAGTGCTCATAGTTCATTGTCTTTGCTAAAGTACCTTTGAAGAACCATCGTTTTAAGAGTGTACAGTGAAGCGTTATCATTTTCTTTCTGCAAAACAACACTGAACACACAGCAGTCACTTTCCTTCAAGTTCAAATCCCAATAGAATTTCTCCTCTTCAACTTTCGAACAGTGTGTGTTTGTTATCGCTGGAGATTACGGCCATTTCTAAAGGTGAAGGAAATAAGCAGGCAGTCTATTTGAATGCAGACTGTAACCGTAGCTAAAGGAGAGTGTTTGTGCGTCATATCTTTTCATTATAGGGCCGCAGTGAGGGTACAGTGAAAGGACGGGGACATGCTTTATCTCTGTAGTGTTTAATCAAACTGAGCCGCCACGCCTGGTGTTATTGATGAAAAACACTCGACCCCCGGTCTGTTCGCTACACCGACACTTTATATGAGTGCCTTGAATGCTATGATATTGACCGTGGCTTTATTTATTTATGTGGCGTTATCCTGAAAGACCTCGCCGTGAGGCTTTTTCATGTTTTACTGATGCTATACGGTGCTTTGTTTACTGTGGTATGGCTGCACGATATATCGTTTGTTAATCATCATTGCAATATTGGCATATGAAATGCAAATGAGTCCTGTAATCAATCACAGTGTGCTGTGAGCATCCTGACCAATCACAGGTCCATTGGCCACTTTATTAGAAACACCTACCTTGTACTTGCACTCACTGGCCAGTTTATTAGAAACTCCTACCTTGTGCTTCCACTCACTGGCCACTTTATTAGAAACACCTACCTTGTGCTTCCACTCACTGGCCAGTTTATTAGAAACACCTACCTTGTGCTTCCACTCACTGGCCACTTTATTAGAAACACCTACCTTGTGCTTCCACTCACTGGCCAGTTTATTAGAAACACCTACCTTGTGCTTCCACTCACTGGCCAGTTTATTAGAAACTCCTACCTTGTGCTTCCACTCACTGGCCACTTTATTAGAAACACCTACCTTGTGCTTCCACTCACTGGCCACTTTATTAGAAACACCTACCTTGTGCTTCCACTCACTGGCCAGTTTATTAGAAACAACTACCTTGTTCTTCCACTCACTGGCCACTTTATTAGAAACTCCTACCTTGTGCTTCCATTAACTGGCCACTTTATTAGAAACACCTACCTTGTGCTTCCACTCACTGGCCAGTTTATTAGAAACAACTACCTTGTTCTTCCACTCACTGGCCACTTTATTAGAAACTCCTACCTTGTGCTTCCATTAACTGGCCACTTTATTAGAAACACATCTTTTAGGTCCAAAAATAAAGAGCAGTTCTCTGGTTAGAAATGAAGGGCTACTGAATTGATAGAGGACAGTCTCTAAATGTACACCAGCAAGGTGGAGATGCAAGGAAGGGGTTTCTAATAAAGTGGTCAGAATGTATTTTTTTGGAGAAATCAGAAACACAGACTAAGTATAACCAAGTCATACTATTCAAAGAACCATTCAATCATGTAAGGGTTTTTAGTGTTCATGGTTCTATATAGAACCATTTTCTTTACTAAAGAACCCTTGAAGAGCCATGTTTTTAAAGTGTGCATAGAGTCAATCACAGTGAAGGGATTTTAGTCTAAAGCCTAAGATCAGTTAAAAGTCCCCAATGTGTTTTCAGCTCTGATTTGGAGCCAGTTCAGTAGAGTCATCCATATAAATGATCGAGCTGATAGAAATCCTGTTTCATTAACGTCCATTCAAAGATAATCCTCCTTTTATCTTTGGGGTCAGTTTGACCTCATTCAATGTTTAACATCTTTAAATAAATCATTGATTTTTTTTGCCGCATATTTAATGACTTTTCCTAATTTAATGGGAACAACTGGGTAAAGATAAAATGAACATGATGTGTTTTTAGGGGTCAGTTTGAGTCCAGACTGTTTCAACTGTATAAAACCTAAATATCAACATCTTATAAACATTTGCTCTGGTTGTTTTGGATGATATTGAGGTCACTATAACATGCAGTTTATAATCTTCATTAAACCTCCCTCTGCTTTACACCTCACCTAACATAACCACACCTGTAACACACCTCACCTAACATAACCACACCTGTAACACACCTAACATAACCACACCTGTAACACACCTAACTTAACATAATCACACCTGTAACACACCTAACCTAACATAACCACACCTGTAACATACCTAACCTAACATAACCACACCTGTAACACACCTAACCTAACATAACCACACCTGTAATAAACCGAACCTAACATAACCACACCTGTAACACACCT